CAGCACAAGAAGTAGCAACAGCACCTAGAAGGCAACTCTAGGTGGTCTAGCAGCATGTAAGCATTACCTTCTCACCTTTTTCTGACATGTGATTTGACAGTCCTTAATCAAAGCTGAAGCAAGGCCCAACAGCTCTCACTCCTTCAAAAAGAGAGTGCTTCAAGCTTGTACATAAGGAAGGGGAAGAGCCTGTAACATACACTGACTACATAAACATTAAGAAACACAATGTGAATGAGACATATCACAAGTCCTTTGCCCTGGTTACACTAACAGGGACAATGCTAAAACCTGGATTACCTTGCCTGACATCATTAAAACCATAGTTTAAGAGCGTTCCCCTAAAATCGCAGTATCAGCAAGGCCACCTCACCAAAAACACCACCTCTGACACAAATCTTTTCGCCTCCCCTCACATACAGGATCATCTAATACCATGCCCTCCCATTCTCCCCTCAGAGGGCAGATCTATGCAGGGAGATGTCCTGTCCTCTAGGCCAGAAGGTTCAGGTTTCTTAAAGCACTGGTTTTAAGTTTAAACTGCTTTAGTTTTACAGCTGAAACGGTGATATAAAATATAATTTTGCCATTCAAGATTGCTCCATCTGCAACATGGGCCCTACACATGAAGGGCCCTATCTGCAACTGGCATAATTCAAAATAATGCTTCTTTAGCCAGCAATAATACGAGCAGAACTCACAGCTTCAAACTCACTGGTATTATCACCACAACCACTGAAGACAGCTGGAAAATTATATTTAGCTACAACCAGCAAGTTAACCTGGTGCTGTCGTGAAAAACGTGTCTGCTTCCTTGACTCATCCATCATCAAGGCATAATAAACTTGTAATCAAAATTATATCACTTCAACTGTTGCTGCCAATCTTTCCTTAATGGACTTAATTTAATAATTTTTTTAAAATAAAAAGTTTCCATGTGTGTCTACAGTAGACAACAACAGTAACAATGGCCTCATAAGGACTGTGGAAAAAAACCAACCTACTTCACACTGGCAAAGTGCTCTGCCTACCAGATGTTACTGTGGCTCCACAGGGCTGGAGAGACTTACTCTCACAGCGCAGAATTGAGCTTAACTGACCTTTTGAGTGAAAAGAGTTAATCTTTTCTTTTCCCAATTCTGTTTTCTTTGCCACTGGCTGGAATCCAACCAGGAGGGTTGTTTGCTGTTGTTTCAGGGGGGTCTGGGGGTTTGGGAGAGTTAGGTCCCCACAGGTAACATTGCAAAGTCTCACTGTAACTTTCATGAGATGGCAAATTGCTATTCCCCTTCAGATACTTTCCTCATTCAAAAGTTTTGCTGTTTTCCTTTCTTCTACTCACTCATGAAGATGAGACCAATTCAATGATTACTGGAGTTCTGGGCTTTTCTGCTGAGCTTCAAAAATACAATTACTTCTTTCGCTAGATGAAAATAGCACCACTACAAAGTAGAAAGGTAAATTAAGTTCCACAGTCAAGGCAGAGACTCACATCCAGATTCAGCAGACTGAGAGATTTTGAAACTTAGGATGGCAAAACCTCTGCCAAAGTCACTGGGAATTTTGCTTGGGTCTCAACATCAAAGGAGTATTATTATGGTATTTTCAGCACCTACAGACCAGTTTCTACCAGCTTTAGTCCCAGTCTTTTAATCACAAAGCAAACCCAAGATTAACAGAGAGTGAAGTGAATCAAAACCAGAGAAGATTCCCTTCAGTTGGAGCAAAAGTACTGTTTCTATTTAAACTAAAGCAGTACTTAGACAAACAAATGGCTTTTAAGTTGCTATGGGCACATTTTGGCTTGAAATAAGAAAGATTATTAAAACAACAACTTAAATACAATTCTGGATCAACATTCTTGAGGCCAACAAACCTAGAGTAGTTAAGGCTGTTGACAGGATTTTTTAACAGGACTATGCAACATCATTGTCTAGTGGAGGGCTGATGTCCATGTCCAAGAATCCAACTTAACTTGTTACACTGATGCCCTCTCTGTGATACTCAGGAAGCACCAGAGGCATGGACACACAGTTTATGAAGAAAAGGGGAGAGGGAAAACAGTAAAAATCCCTTTTTTCCTCAATGGATGTGCATAATAACTTGGTTTCCATCTAAAAAAAAAAATAATAAAATAAAAAGCTAAGGGCTTTGGCAGCTAGTATTGATTCTCTACCAGGCTTCTTCTGGGAAATGAGTATTTTGCATTCACACTCTGGGATACAAACAGGGAATTCATCTTGGGACTCAGCCAGTGTAATGTTATACCAATGTGTTGATTCAGAAGCAAAAATCTTCAAAGAGACTCAAGCTGCTGAAATTCTGGAGAGAAAAAAGGAAGGACCAATATGCAAGTAACTACATGTGTCAATGGGCTGTGACTGAAACTAAAGGACTTGACTTTGCATTCCTCCTAAATTCAGTGGGGAAACTGGGGCAGGAGAGGTGAATCACCAGAAGTTTTGCTCAAGGAATGTAAAACAGAACACAAGGTCCATGGCCCCATTGGTATTTTACAACTATATAATGCTGGTGATTTCATTAGAGCCAGCCCAGATTTATTAAAAACCAGAATCAAACCTTAGGTCTAAGGAAGCCCTTAAAATAAGTCTTTACTAATGCCTTATTATTTTAATGGTGTAAATCCACAGGAAACAGGCTATCCAAGATTTACAGTAGTGCTAGTGAAAGCGAGATTCAAAACTTAACATACAAGTTTCTTGGATCTGTGATATGCTCATTTGCTAGTTTAAGCACAGGCATGAAAATCATCAGTGACCTAAGAAGAGAAAAGAAACCTGTGAAAATTAGACCTTGCCTCAAAAAAACTTCACAGATAAAGTTACTTAAAAAAAAAAAAATAGGTATTTGTGACTATCATCCTGTGCTGGTGAACACAAGCATCATTTCATTAACAGAGGAACAATCATTCCTGGCCACCAGCCACTGCTTGACCATTTTTCTGAATGGGGCACAGCACAGATGTGCTCACCTCAAACAACATGCCTAGCATGACTTATTATGCCAGCTAGGCTTGACGGGTAGTAAGCAAGGAAGACAAGTCAACACCTGCTTAGCCCTTCTGGTAAATCCACATCACTTCATTCCTAAAGAAGTGCAAAGCCTTTCGAGTCCTCGGGACATGGCTCGCTGCACCACCTGGGGTCCTGTCCTCCAGTCTGCAGTTGAGAAAGTGCTGCCCTTTTCCACTCTGTATTTGTAATCTATCAGGATCCTAAAATGAAGAATAAAGGACCTGATCTGCTTCTTGCTTACACCATTGTAAATTAGAAACAAACCCATCAGCATTAGCAGCCTTACATGAGTATAAAACAGGTGTGAGAGTAGAAACAGGCCTATAAACTCAGATGAATTTAGAAGGCAATGTATTACTTTCCAATCGTGGAGAGATTACATTACATTATATATATACACACATACACACACACATACACACAGAGCATTTTTAAAACCTCTCCAAGAAATCCAACAGAAACTAAGCAGAGCATATGGAAATTTAACTGGTTGCTCATAAAAAGCTGTTAATATGTGCCAAAGTCAAAAGACACAGTGCAGTCTACTACACAGGCTTGTTAAAAAAGAAGCAAAGCAGCATTTTTAACTACAACTACCTGATAGGTGGAACAGCAGCTTCACTTAATCTTAGAAATACAATATTTTTGTATTTTTAAAGATTCTGAGCGCTGAGGAACTTTTTCCTTTCGGTTTCGTTGTTGCTGTTTGGGGTTTTTGTCCCTGAACCTCTGGAGCAGATTTCCAGGGCTTAAAAAAACCCAGCATTTCTTGCCGCTGCCTCCGGCCTATTTGATGTTCCTTTGCTGCCACCAAGTGGAAAAGAAGCAATAAAGCTAAAATTTGCGAAAAGGGCCTGTAGCTGGCACCATATAGCAAAGGTCTCGTCTAAATTCGCTTTCCTTTCCTAGTTTTAACTTCGGCCGCTACCTCCTCCGGGGCTGGCTGCAGAGAGAGAAAAGGCACAGCCACCGCCATTATCAATTAACCACAGGGTCCTCTGCAGTAAAGCCACCCTGAGCAGCCTGCCACAGCACTCCCATCCGTAGCATATATTGGGGAAACATGAGAAGATTAGTGGAGAAATAACAAAAACGCGATTATCATCACACACCACCTCAAACAGACGTTGTAAGGAAAGTTCTCCTCAAGCACCAAGTGCATTTCCCTCAGTAACATACCCACACTTTACCTCCTTGCTCTGACTACTGTGTGACACAGGTTCACTTCATAGATTTAAGCGCAAGATAGAGTAAATCCTACCTTTTACTTGCAGAGGGACCGAAGGACAGGTCAAAACAACGCTGGGAGGCAAACGCGTTCTGACAGCCCTGCTCACCTGAGGTGAAGCGCCATTTTAGCCCTGGGGCTGGGCAGTGATTAACTGCTAAATGGCGCTTAGGGGCAAGGCTGGAGGGTGAGCTATGGCTTTTGGCTCTATGGGTCAGAGCAGATGAGGGGAAAAAAAGAACCACACACCTTTGCAAATTCAGGGTAAGCTGTGTATGCCTTTAGTATGTACAAGGGATGTGTGTGTCTCTCTCTGAAGGGTTTTACTGGGTGAGGAAGGGGCAGAGCTCAGGTGTTGGCCATAGCATTTGGGTGGGGGTTGTGAGGTACAGGGAAATGGCTTCCCTTCAGCTCCTGATCCTGGAGGCGCAGTAGTGATTGAAGCAAGTAACAGCCTCACTCCGGGGAGCAATTTTGTTACACTCATATAAAAATAAAACAAAGAAAAAGGTGGGGGGCAGGCAGGCAAATAAGTCTTCTGGTGAACCATTTAACCTGGCTGCTGTGTTTGGTTAAACTATGTATGATGCACCTATGTATTTAAACAAGGTAACCCATGCCAAACCACACACCATCAGCGATTAGATTCCATGAAGGATAAAATCTAGCTGTAGTATTACAACTTTGATGAGTCAACTGCTTCTTGCTGATACGTATCAAGTGGTTAAAGGAACAAATATCTGTTTTATAGATGGAGGAATGGATGGCTTGGGGGCAGGAGTGTAGAGGACTCTCCAGTGTTGAGAGACACTTCTGTGCAGATGCTGCAAAGAAATCCAACAGTGCATATTGGTTTCAAGGGATATATATATGCTGTTCACCTTCCCTTTTAATTTAAACTTATTTAACCTGCTATAAGATGTTCTCCCTGCTTTAATAGATCTTGTTTTTCTAGCAATTACTGTCATTTAGGTAATATCACACAGATGTGCTCAAGGAACACAAACTTGTAAGAAACACCGAAGAATTTCTGGCACTATTTCTTTCATTCAGTCTAATTTCAGAGGCAGAAGGAGCCAGCCGGCTGAATTGTCTTGAAGGCGGACACAGGAAAAGCAGCTGATAGACTGAAATACAGATGAAATCACCTTTAAGCACAAAGGTAATTAAACACAAGAATTCACATGCCTTCTCTGTTGTGCTGTAATCAAACTGAAAAATGCTTTTCTCTCAAATTTGTGCAAGTAAGCTAACCTACTAAAATAAGGAACTATCAGATTCACTAAAGAGGGAAAAATGGCAAACTTCTAAGCTCATGGTTGGCTGGCTCACTTTCCAGATGCTTTTCAAAACCTAAGCTTTAAGATGTGTCTTCAGTTACCTCAAAAAATATTCCGATATCTTAACAACATGGGGGCCACTGATGGGTTAATACACACACACACTGCCAGCAAAGTCCCTCCAGTTAACACCAGCTGGAAATGAGCTTTTGGGGTTTTTTGGTAGTTTTGTTTGTTGGGGTTTCCCCCCCCCCTTCCCCTGCTGTTGGTGAGGCTTTGGCTCAGATGCTTGAATAGAGAAAATCTTTGCCAGATGAGGTAATGGCCACTGAGGTTCCTGAGGCTAGCAGGCTGCCCAATACAGGCTTTGCCTTAAATGACTTAGAACCTCAAATTCTTTTTGGACACAGATTTACCACTGTGCGTTTACTGAAGGCTTGGCTCAATTATATCTTGGCTTTCTGCTATGGGAATGGAAGTTCCATGTCATCAGTAAACTCTGCAAGGCAGAAGTCACTGTATCAGAATATCAGCATCTGTCCTCTTTGTCTTATGAAAAGCTGTGCAAGCAAATCCAAGGGCAAAATCTGGCTGTTAATTTTTTTGATAATACAACCTCACCTAGATGGCAGAAGACAAAAAGTTTTTCCATGCTTATTTTGTTCTCTAAGGTACAGGTATATCCAGAAATGCTAACCTACGCCCAGAGATGTCTCATCTACCAAAATTCTTCTGTGTAATTCCATAAATAAGGGATGAGATCAAATTCGTAAGACTTTAATGATCTGAGTACCTTCCAGAAAATAGGATACTTCATTCTACATACCCCAAGAATGCCTGCTAAAAAGAATACATTAAATGGACCAGACTTGATTTTACCAGCTTAAACCTGGAGCAGCTCCACAGCTTAACAAATGAACACATGGGGGCTAGGGAGGAGGAAAAAACAAACAAATCCAGTATAACAACTGTAACCCTTCTTTTCATTATGGTTTTAGTTGAGAAAAAAATTAAGTTTCAGATTTCTAATATATTCAGCATACTTAAAGGAAGTATACTCTTACTGGAGTTACCTCTTAAGAAGGTGACACACAAACTAATTCCATTTTAGTTAAACTGGTATGAAGTTGAATTCCAGTATGATCATAATGTAAATTAATCAGATACATATGAGAGCATTCTTTGTCCACATTAAGTTTTTAAAATCTGAAATCCATATAAAACTACATTAAACCAGCACTGTTAAAAGTTGTAGTAGATTTGCAGTTCTGCAAATACAGTATGTTACAGAGCCCTGTCATCATCCAAGATAAATTGGACTTTAACTGCAGAGTCCATATTCCTCCCTAAGATATTTGTGGCTTCAAAACTGTGCAGGGAGCTCAGTAATGTTGATGACCATGCATGGGAAAACTGGAACACAAGCAAATTAATGGCCAGTATCTACGATGCAGTTCTCTGAGGTTTCTCTAGAGGCCTAATCTGGATAGATTTTCACTGGGATAACTTTTTTTTAATCTCCTGACAAAGCATTTCAAATTTTTACCTCAGTGAAGGAGAGTTACAACCTTTAGAAAGATATGGTCAGAAGTTTTGCTAACGCTGCCAATGTGGCCTATACTTTACAAACCATGTTCCTGAACAACTGTTAAGAGTAACAGTTCAACCTTTGGGCGCGGGGGGGGAGGAGGTGGTTGGGCATTCAGCCATGGCAGAGACCAAACGTGAAGAAGTCCAAAACAAGTAGTTAAAAGCTGGCAAAATGATGAACCTCTAGGAAAAAGAACATTACCATAAAAAGCTGAGGCACTATGTGGAATTATTGGTAAGCCCTATGTATAATAAAAGGTAAACAAAGTTTAACAAGCACAAACCACAAAAATAAAATGTAAACAAAGAATCCAGGAAGCAGACTTTTACTAACACACAAGCAATTTAACTGGAAGTCAGTAACTTTGAATCAGCTATATTTTTTGTGTTGTTTTTGCTGCGTGAAGACATTCATACTTACATGAAGCCAAATTCTCAGTTCTTTTGCATTGGATTTTTGCTACTGCAGCCCTAATGAAATCAAGAGTTAAAACTGACTTAAAGCAATAGAGAAATATGCTCATGATGCTATATATAGTCTCCAGCTATATTAGTCTCTCACTAATACACACTTTGTATTCTGTTACACACCAAGAGAAGAACTTACTGCCAATCAGGAGATAGATAACATACAGGTGGATGTGTGTGTACATACAGACAGCACCTCATGAGATTAACTGCCCTGAGGAAATGCTCTCTCCATGGAAACTTTGCCCAAGAAAACATGTTTTGTCTTGTGTGTGAGTTGAGGAGTAGGCTTGTCCGTCCAGAGCAACAAAGTAAAAAGATTGTTTATGCTATCCAATTTGACAGTGCTTGTTACAAGGTATTTCTTCTTCTCACCTTTGTGGGTTTAAACAATAACTGATTTGTTCCCATGAGGCCAAAAACCATTCAAGTGACAAAGAAAAAATAAACATTCTAGGAAACTAAGGCTACAACAGTCATATAAATGAACATTCATATCTAATGAGGTAATATCAACACTACTTTGTTTTCAGACAACTTTTTCACTCGCATAACTCAGCAGCTGCTCATTTACTTTAACTGACTGCTAGTAAATAGCATCTAAGCCTTTGCCCTTAGCATTACTACTATAAAAGTTTATGTGCAAGCACAGCTGAGTTTTGGTTTTTTTTTTTGCCTGTTCTGGATTATTGCTATATAAGGTACATCACCATGCATCTGAGGTGATCCTTAGCTTGAAAATTATCTAGTTGTTCATGTACTCTTTGGATATAACATCTAGGTACTTAAATAGCAAGACTGTCATGATGTTAAGCTGGAATAACATAGTGCTGAATTAGACCCATTTTCTGTCACTTAATATAGCCTTTAAATTTGTCCATGGAATGTGTCCACACTAGTCTGAGAAGAAGCCTCTTGGCAATACTGAATTATCATTCTGACTTGCTTCCATCCATTTACTGGGGCTGCCAAATTGAAATGATGCATGTCAAGGCAACCCTACGCTGAAAAGTAAAAGATAGCCTCTTAAATGTTCCATTTATAAAGCTTTTTATTCACAGTCGAATTTAGTATCCCCTCTGAAATATATCACTTTACAAAATTGATACCTTGCCATTACAAGATTTCCACGCCATATTCACTCAGCTTAGTAGTAAAAACAAGCTTTTGCTCTTTTCCCTTTGGTACAGCTGATGAAAACCGAGCAGTTCAAGGTCTGCTTTTTAGATCACCAGCACTAAGTATTCCATAGATCTTTAGTCTTCTCCTACAGGGAAGGTTAAAAGTCAGCAAAAAGGCAAACTGTTAGTTCTATCAGTAAAATATTAGAAGTAGTACATCATCTTGAAAAGCAGAAATTGAAAGAAGAAAAACCCCAAACTACCACTAATGCCCTAATGTTAGGGATGTTAAGAGTGGTCTGCAAAACAAGAGCATTCATGTGAACTTTCTGCAAGGAATATCACTTAAAGAAAATTAGCAAAAAGAAAAATTACGCTGTCACACTGCAGAACTTTACTGCATTTTTTTTCTAATATGTCACATATGATTCTAAAATGACAAATTGCATTATTTACTTTCTGTATTATGTCCCCTACATTGCTGTAACCTAACACTTCTTTTCTTAATTACTGGCAAGTAAATTTCTAACTAAGAAACATAAATGTAGTCTTTTTAACTAACGCCCTGTTTTGACATCTTTACATTAGTTTATGACAAATGCATAACCTGCCCACATTTGGGATGCAACCCAGTTAGTTTGGCCCTCTAAGCTAGAAAGTTTCTTTGGCTTGAAGTGCATCACACTTACTCTTGAAGAATATTTCTGCAAAGTCTCATTATTTTCCTATTACGTCCTGATTTGCATGTCACTGTTTAGCTGAAGTTACTTCTTGGTCCAATTTACGATTTGCATCAATAGTTTGTTGTTTCCTTACACTTCAACTCTCTAAAGCAGCTATACATTACTAGCCAGCCATGTCTGAAAGAAGAAAGGAATGACATTCCAATCAAGTTGTTTCAGGTTTTTTTAGGATTAATGTTTCACATATCCCAGCTTGTAGCAGTGTCAAACAGGAAAGTTGTGTCCTTCTAGCTATAAGGGGTTTGTGCAGTTATTTGCAGTAGAGAAGAAACTGCATGAATAGAGTTAAAAGTTCAGTGAGATCTTGCCAGAAGGAACCCTATGCCCAGAAGGAACCATAGAATGTCACACCAGTAAGTGTTTCCAGTTATAGACTGGAGTTTGCTGTTCACAACTCTCAAAAGTTTTCCTGTGGCCAACAGCGGATAGATGCCTTAATCCAAGTAACCAAGGTCTCTTCTGGGGCCAAAGAACCAGGTCTTCATCAATCCCTGGGCAAAGTATTCATTTACTATGGAAGCTAGAATTTCCCTTCACGTTTGTAATGGTCCCAACCCCACAGTTAAAAAGTTACTTTTGGTCTACTTACTTAAATCCAATAAAATTCTTAATTATGTGAGAATTAAGTTTAACTTTTATCATTCCAGATTACTATGTTTTGAGAAGATTTCCAATAAATCTGCAACACTTTTTGACAAAGTTTCATGCTATTATTGATTTTCAAGGCCAGGAAAAAATAAGATGACTTAATCAAACATCCACTTTTGAGGATGAGGTTATCCATTAATAAAAGTACTTAAGGAGTAGAAATGAGCACCAGTGATGTGCTGACTTCCCAACTCATGGCTACCATTTGTAAGAGTGGAAATTTAAGTTCTAGTAAGATTCCTCTTTTGTTTGCAGCCACAGTAATATCTGTCAGGTCTTCTACATTACTGGGGCTTAAAATCTTGAGTTGTGTTTTCACTTACTTTCTGAAGTATTCTTTTGGTAAGCTTGGGAAATTCCTCATACAGCCTTATAACAGATTCTAGTTAATAGCTGCTAGCTTCACGTGCTCTTCCCAACGTCATCGCTTTCTTGGTGCAAAGACCAGAAAGCAAGAAAAGTTCCAGGAACAGGTAACACATTACAATCTTTAACAAAATGGAAACTATTTTCACTTCTGACTTGTAAACCTGAACACAAAACCTTCAAATTTTGGCATCATTGATTAGCAAGGTGCAAGACAGGCCACATAGACTTCCACCTACATGTACATTTCTACCATAACTTAAGAGTTTTACATCATTTTCTTATTGATTAGTTAAAAACATTCTTAGAAACAGCAGTTTTAGTGCTCCTCTTACCTGGTATGTCTAATATTAGTTAGCCCATAAAATAAATAGAGTAAAGCAAGACAAAGCAGGGAGGTGTCACACACACTTTATTATTTTCTTTAAATATCTGAATTCATTAATTCAGTGATACTAACAACTTACTATTAATAGCAACTCTCTGCATTACATTGGTATTAACTAACGCAGAATTGATACTTCTGCACCATATTCAGCACTTACACCAATGGGACTAGAAGTCTCCCAGATGTTTTCCTTTCCTTTCAGGCTCTGTAGAACCATTCTATAAACTGGCTCATATAGATTTAATGCACACAGATACTGCAATAAATGTTCTTGTCAGCATCCTATTTTGAGGCAGGAACTTCCATAAACAATGTTCAGTCATTTCACATTGGAGACCTCAGTCTAGATGTTCCAAGAATACTTGATGTAAAAAACACTTAGCATTCATGATCTTGTATTTCATGCCTCTTTCTAATAGGGCTGTTAGTGAATAACAGGCAGTGACACTTCTTAGTTTGTGGCTGGTTTGTTTTCTAGAAAAGCAAAGCCACAGACCCAGGCTGTGAACAGCCATACTGAAGGATGCGAACCTTAAAAAAAAAAAAAAAAAAATTACAAAGTTGCATTTGTTACATCTATTTAAACTGCTCTATGACAAATGCCAAACACCTGTATATAATTAATTATACCAGATGGACTTCTACCTCAGTAAGTCTTAGCTAATAGACTTGCACTATTCTTGTTTAAACATTTACTTACGAAACCTGTGTACTTTACTGGACACTAAATTATGATCCTTTTTAGAAATTATCCTTTTAAAACAGAAGTTGTAATTGAAGCTTAAGAGAAAAACCATGTAATGGAAATGTCCTTCAATCCCCTTTTAATTAACAGCACTGTAAATACAAGCTGAGCTACTCATTTCCTCAAATGCTTCTCAAAGCATAAGACGCTATCTCCCAGAAAAATTCTATATTAAAGTGCTCTGGCTTGTGCCACTTCAGATCACTTCTATCCTTTTGTCTTCCCAATTAGTTCATAGGACACCTGGCCTTTTTTTACACTGATGTTTTTGAGATTAACATTTTGAACCTCATGTGCTTTGCACATGCAGACCTCTACATCTACACAAAGTCCAGAAGTCTGTTTGTAATAGCCTATAGCTGTCATTTTCAGTATCAAAGAGGTGCAAGACAGGACACACAGACTTCCAAATAAATCTCTGTCCAGACCTATGGAGCACACCAAGAACTGCTTTACACGTGTATTGCTATCTTTGGCCTAGAACACACTTGAGGTCTTTTGCATTTTTAATCATAATTGCACAAAAAAAAAAAGCCTCCTGAGTCCAACAGCTTTTTCATTTGGCATAACCATGACATTAATGTGTAGAAATAAAGCATTCTAATTTTAGCTCTCAGCTGGCAAATGTATATGCATCTTTGACATGCATACTTACATGAGCAGTCCTGTAGATCTAGGGCAGAAAAGTGCCATACGTACATGAACATAAATACAATCAGATTCTTGTTAGTTGGACTGAAAGAAGTGGTATTTATTCAAAGAGTTTATCATAAATGAAAATGAGTAAATTCATACCAGTCACTGAAAAAAGTTTCTAGAGATATGCAATTATTTCAATTTAATAAACTTGTCAATGTATTGAACTTTTACTTTCAAAAAGAAGCTTCATTTTAGCACCTGATTCAATTTAGTCCACATTCGGTACTGCATGATGTAGTACAACTCTGTAACCATCCACTGTACATCATTCAGCTATAGATATACTGGATTCATTTGTTCTTGTCATTTAGTCTTTCACACTAACAATATTTCTCAACCACTTTTGTAGACTGGTACCGAAACTACATTTTGGTGAATTAATTGCCTTTTTTTTCCTTCCTTTTCCTGTATTTCCTAAGTAAAGAGCTGCTGCTAATTGTTAAATAGTTTTTGGCAGATCATTGAGTTTTGCTTTGCAGTATACTGAAAAAAAACAATAACCGAGGGTCTTCTGAAGAAACTTAACACGCCTCCTCTCCTAAATGACTGAACTTTACCTATTGAGGAAAATAACAGAATACTTGTAAGACACTGTAGTAGTATTTATCGCACCACAGGGTGCTTTCCCTGATGAAGATCTCAGAAATAGCAATGGATGACCACACTCCTACCACCTCAGAGCATACTTCTCTCTTTCACGGTGTCAGCAGTGAAGGATGAGCACTGCAGCCAAAATTTCAATCAAGTTCCTGCATGTGCTGTTTTTTAATAGCTGTCCCCAGCCTGCTCCTTTTTTTGGACCCCACAAATTGCCCTTTGGGGATATCTTTTCCACTGACTAGACACTGTGGCTTAAAGTGGAATACAGACTGTGTGGCCCCTGAAACTCAGTTTTCTCAGAGGGAACAGGAAGTAAAGGAATATGGCAAACCTTCAAGTTCAGAAGCTGAAACAGTTTAACACAGTGAATAAACCTTACAAAACTACAAATACAGCCTTTTACATAATGATGTGATGATGTAATGAGAAAGAAAACATGGCTCCGTCATAAACACCACAGACTAGATAGCATTGGTTAATACTTTTTAATATTCAATTTAATATTTTAATATTCACATTAAGGACATGTAAAAAAAAGTGTTACTCATCCAACAGTAAAAATATCACTAGTATGTATTACCAGCAAGCCTATGCTAGGTCATTGTCATTTCAATAATGAAATGTTACCTCTCTTGCATCAAATGGCACTTTTAGATACACATACAATGTGATCACATGTGACAAGTGTTCTGAACAAAATACAATCCTATAAAAATTCTTACCTATAACTTAAGCAAGATGTTGCTGTACAGCACCTCCACAAGGTGCATGCAGTATGCAGAACACATTTCAAGGTAAGTTCCTAGACGTCTCTAATTTATATACGGAGAGGCATAAATTTAGTCCATCTTTCTCTTTTTTCCTTTACCAGGGCCTTTGTTTTTCTTTTCATTTTCAGGGCTTGGTTCCCAGAGTGCATTTCTTACAAATCTAGAAGCAGCTCCTTTATCAAGTTTGAATGCCTTTTTCTTTTCTGCTATTTCTTTGACCCTGTTCATGTATGTTCTTACTCTCTCCTGGGGGAGAAGAAAAAAAGAAGAAGAATATTTCACACCATTGTCCCAAAATTCCTGTGAAAATCAATGAGTAGAAGCTCTCCACACTTTACAATTCTATAATATCTAGAAAAATACAATCATTTAAATACATGTACAAGGATTTTCTTTGCAAATGCCTTCTTGCAAACTTGAGGCTTCTCCTTTAGCAGATTTTCCATCACAGGTACCTACTATACTAATATCTGCATGACACTCACTGTCATAGGAACATGAACTCCTACAGAGATGAAGACTACATCTAATTGACAGTGAGAGGAGAATTGTTCTTGCAAGCAAAGTTAGAAAACAAAGTACTGAACTCAATTTTGAATTTGGCCTACATAAAGACAGCAAAATAGTATTTAGATTTGACATACTTAGAGAAATGTCATTATATAAATTATACTGCCTGACTCCTGTCTAATAAAAAAAAAAAACAAAACAGCATGTCCAAGCAAAGCCACAAAGCATCTAACTCAAAATAAAAGATGTCACAAGCATTACATATGCACCTACACCGAACTCTTGTGGTTAAGATCCTGAAATGGTCAAGGGAGCTTATGAGCAAACCTATCTAAGGAGCCTTATGAATTTCCAGCTGTATCAGAAGTTTCTTTTTATGACCATAAATAATAATAATGCCTATTTCCACTGCCATTCCATAAAGTGGATACTCCCTTGCTATCTTAGCCTCCCCAGAGTCATTTGGTGTCTAAGGATTTTTTGGAAGAAGCATGACTTGGATTGACCCCACCTACGCATACCTTCCCAGCTTACAATCTCATTTACGTACCTACTCTTCCTCATCTACTTCCACAGTCAGTAAAGGAAATTGCATAACTGAACCTCTAACATGGGAATTATCCTCTGTTAAGTGCCTGCTCCTATTCACTGACTAGAGGGGACGCTTATGGTAGTTGTATAAAATACGTAAGTTTGGTTAATGTATTTCATGACTACATAGTACGGCCTTCAACTCTAGGTGTTTCTGTAATGCAAACAACAGTAGCATATGTATACATACACATATATATATATAGCGCTCTACCCGATACCTGAATTATAAATGTGCATTAGCAGAACATTTATGGATACTGCTAACTAAATAAATGTTAATACTATGCAACTCACACATTTCTCACACAACCATTGACAGCTCCTTGAATCTGGAACAAGTTACATGACCTACATGACAGAACTGATTTTCAGTTCCTCAAATGACCATTATAAGCAACTGTTGTCAAAAAATTGGCCACTCTTTCTATATCAAAACCATAGCTTTAATGAGGAGAGCTTATAGGGTCTGAAATCATGATAAGCTGTAATATTTTTTTGGTGACTGAGTAATGAGAACAGATGGCAAACCTACATGTATCAACCTGGGAAAAAGGAGCTGACAAATGTCAACATGACAAAAGAAATGAACTCTGATAGCTTGAATGTGAGTTTATTAATATAGTTTTAATCTCTGCGTACTCCATGTATGTATACAGGGAGAGCAATTCTAAAAACAAAACAATCACCACAGAGCAGTCTTTTTTTTTACTCCCTTTCCACATGAATGAGAACATCACAATGCTCTTGGAAGGAAGGAACATGCATTCATTCACCTTGATACTTGTAAAAGGAAAAAACAACTGGATAAGAATCTAGGCTGTGGTAATTCACTCATTCTTCAGACTTAAAACAACTGGTTAACTGTGAATAAAATACCAGCATAAAATATCCACAGCAAAATAGATAGAATTTATTTTTTAGTATCACTAAATTAACACAATATTCAGACACTATGTAATACAGGAGGAACAAGAAACTGACTGAAAGCTCATGAAATACTAACTGATCAATTTTTTTAATATGATACAGTCTAGGCTACTGAAAACCTCACCTAATTAAAAATAGAAGTATTCTTGTTTTTCAGGATATCTTTCTGCATTTTTCAGTCCCATCTTCTGTTCCACTGCCTAGGCAAGGATTGTATTTAACCGAAGCATTTTATGATTGCCCAGATTTAGTATTTTCATTTATACAGGAATTAAAATGGGGAGTTGTAAGTTTTGATTTCTATTTTTTCTTCAGGCTAAATGATCTGATTTTTTTAAGTCAGCAGAATTTTCAAGATAGCGGTCTTCTATACTGTAGTCATGCATCTAAATGGAATATAAAGACAAACCTAAGAGATTTATTGTAGGTTGTAAATATGTCACTAATGCAGAATTACTGGACAATACACATACAGCTGGTGCCAAAAAAGCTTTTAGCTTTGTTGCTGAACTGAATTCTTTATTGCTGAGAAAATGAATTAATGGAGGACTTGGAAAGAGGGGGGGAACTCTTTCCCGTCTTTGCTAGTAAATCAACCACACTACACTTTCAGAGTCATACAAAAGTAAGAAAAGACAGCCTCAGAGATTAACATGATTCCAAGTATTTATAAAAAAAATGCCGTACTGGAAGTTATAAATTATTATCAGACATGTAACATTTTTCCATTTAGCAGATACAAGTGAAAAGCTGCTCTGTTCAGAATCCAATTCTCAAGGAAAGGTGGAGAAATGAAAAGATGACATCATTTATCTTCTTGTTCTAATTTCAGCAGACTCTACAATTTTGCTTTAAACAGTACCATTTGGAACTAAAAATATGACTTTCTTAATTTAGAGAGCGCAGCAGGGCACATGAACAGTTATATAACGCTACGTAGCATATGCGTGCTATTATGGCAACATCAATTTTAACCATAGATACAAATTTTTTTTTACTTCTATAAGAATTAACTGTCCTGGGCAAGTACGATATTGCAGTGCTTGCAGTGTGAGAATCTTACCAGTTCTTGTTTCACTGGATGTTCCTTTGGATTGACTCCCTGGATAGTCAAGTATACTACAAGATAAAAAACATGAAGTTTTTAAATCTGAAGGCTGTCATGACTGAGTACCCCATAAATCAGTCACATAGGAAAACTAATTTCCACATAAACCCATTAGTAACAATTAGAGTTAATGGTGTAAATTATCTGACAAACTATTATCATCAATATTGCAGCTAAATTTAAAAAAAATCTAACATAGTTAATGTTGCTAGGAAAAAACAAACATCTTCATGCAGGTACAAAGTCAGCTTTTGTAAATTCCTATTTTTGGAGTTTCAACATCATTTACTCTACAAATGGCAATAATTTGGATCCTTGGGGTAATTACAGGTTTCTAATTATTTTGCTATGAAATATGATTATTTAATGTTTGCAGCTGTCTAGAAGGTGTTCAAATGGCATCATAAATACTTTTTCCTCCTACCGCATACTTACCCCAGAACAATGAATTTAACGTGTACACTGAAACCAAATCCAGCTTTGCTTGCTCCAGAGGCTCTAACTAGAATGAAAAAAAAAAACAAACAACAAAACCAAACCCAACACATTTGCACATTTTATAATTATGAATGTATTCATAAAAGAAGTACACACTGAATGAGGTATTTTTGCACCACAGGTTCACTAAGACCACATTGTGCCTATTTCTGTGCCATCACAGAACCATTCTCTCCAAGTACTCCAGTAATTTTCCCTGTCTGATGCCACAGTCCCAAGTGGCCAAAAGCACAAATATCTGTTGGCACATAGCTCTTAGACTACTGTTCCCATAGTCAGAAATAAGTTCCTGTTTTTCCACAGAAACTTAACTCAAAATAGTTGTTACTATCAGTGGAAGGGAAAAAGAAGTCTTAAGATTGCTGAAGCCCAAATGTGAATATACTATGCTACAGTCAATGAACATTAAAACTACACATGGTAGACTGTGCTTAACGCATGCTGGAATACTTAGGGCTGTAAAGCAAAGGAAGAATAAAGGTAATGAGGGGTTTTTTTTCCTTGACTGTCAAAGTCAATTTATTATTTTAGTCCTATAGGATTTCCAGAACCTCTGATAACATCATTGTAAGGCTCACTACTTCTAACATGGATACTGTCAAAAGATCAGTGTTGTAACGACTGTTTTCTTCATGATTTATTTGTGTTAGAAATCCTCAGAGGATAAAGAAGTTCCCTCATGCGCTAGCTTTTTCTTGCCCTAGAGAAAGAAATTACATATTAGGCTTTAAATGTTAAAAGATAGAGAAGCTTGTATGAAGTCTTCGGTCTGTACCTTGCTCTGTCTTTATGCCCTCAGCAAAAAACACATTTTACAGACTTAGGCTTATAACACAGCTAAAGGAGACAGCTGTTTTTTAAGCACCAGCTTCTGCAAGTCTAGACTTCTAGAATCAGATCAATTCTCACTGCTGTCAATTCACCTTTATATCCTACTGCATATACAAAGTTCCATTAAGTTTGTTGTGAAAACGTCTCAGAAAAAGGTGTGAATAACCTCGCCATTATGAAAGAGCACTCAGCATGCACTTTAAGGAAGGTCAGGAATAAGCTAGGATGTCCTCTACTTAAATGACTCACTGGTAGAATCATCGCTTTTCGGCTTGTAAGAGCACGTATTTCACTGTTTAGTTTGTAAGATCGTCTGGGTATCTTAGAAATGTAAGATTTTCAAATACTGGGTATCAAGCATAGAAAGTGTCATATTTATATGTGTCTGTGCAGTGGCCAGGCCTAACAGGCTCTTTTATTTCAGTTGGGATTCCCAGATATTCTTGTATTAGTAACAAAAAGGTTGTCAAAAGCAACATTACCTACCTTTTGGAGGTCACTCCTAGAAACCAACATCATTGCTTTCAGCATCTCTTCTACAGAACCAAGACATTGTTCAAATGTTGCAAGATAATCATGAATTTCAGTAGGGTATTCTTCTGGGTTGGTATAATCTGATGCCTCCATCTGGAAAGAGGAAACAAAACTAATAATCCTTTTCTTTAAGTCTCTACAGAGTCAAAAGACTATATTTTACAATACAAAACGTTATTATACATGCATTAAACATTGTAAGAAATGCCTACTTCTGAAGAGTTCCAGCAGGTAATGTCAATAGTGACACAGTTAAAGGTCCTATAATTTCATGGGTATCGCCTAACTGCTGTGCAAAATGGCATGAAGGAGCATTACAAATGACATGACTGTATTATCTACTGTTGTAACAGTCCCAAACCAGTATTAAGCTTTTATGGTCTGTGATGGAAAGAAATTATTTGCTTGTTTAAAAGAAGCACATTATAAATCACAGTATATAAAGAGCTATAGCAAGCAACAGGCAGGACACTAAACAAAGACAAAACCAACAGAGATATGGCTTCAGCCTGTCTTAGGAACAGACATTACTTCAGCTTTAAAATGGTTATGCAGCACCAGTTATGTCAAGGTCAGTTAAAATCTTCCAGTGCTAAATTTAGGAGTTGGTCCAAGAAACTCTTCCTGTGAACCTGCATCCAGTTTTCTTAATTCTCAATGGGGTATTATAATCTGCAATGTAACTCTACTGGTGACAAAGATGAGTTGATTTGGGGATTTCAGAATACTCTGGAAATCTTATAGAGACATCTATGCACAGCAACTGTGAGATAAGCAAAGAGGTGAAAAATCCCAAAGCACTCCTTTTTGATCCCAGCATTCATGGTAACATGTTATGGCTACTGCCAAGCCATCTGGCAGCTGGCTTACAACTGATACCTTTAATTCCTCTCAAATCATAAATCCCATATCATGAAGAGTCAATGTTGCTTACATATTATTTCCTACAACTCCTACTGATTGAGCAACAACTTTGTAAATGTTGTCAGAAAAGAGCATAATTTTCATGCCCATTGGTGAGCTACATCAGGACAGTGGCAGTACCTGGAACACTGCAGTCCTTCCTACTTAGCATCAGTGTAATCCCACTACCCAGACATTGAGTACAGAGGGAATTAAATTAAGTTGGAGACCTTGCACTTCAGTTATGAACACCAAGCCACACGCTCAGTGCAAACACCAAGGAAAGACCAAACAACTGTTGCATCACTGGAGTTTGTTCTAGATAACAACTTGATCATTCCCTTTTCCTGGCAAGAGCATGGTATGTGTGAAAGAGGTTTCTTTTTATTTATATTGTCTCCTAGAGGTCAAACAGGAGGAATACTGGGAGGAAAACCAATGCGAAGCTACTTAAGCTTTTCTGCAACTCCAGTTTTAATCACACCGGCATGATTCCAGAAATAGAATCATAGAATAGAATCATAGAATCATTAGGGTTGGAAAGGACCTTAAGATCATCTAGTTCCAACGCCCCTGCCATGGGCAGGGACACCTCACACTAAACCATGCCACCCAAGGCTCTGTCCAACCTGCCTTGAACACCCCCAGGGATGGAGCATTTACAACTTCCCTAGGCAACCCACTCCAGTACCTCACCACCCTCACAGTAAAGAACTTCTTCCTTATATCCAATCTAAACTTCCCCTGTTTAAGTTTTAACCCCTTACCCCTTGTCCTGTCACTACATTCCCTAATGAAGAGTCCCTCCCCAGCATCCCTATAGGCCCCCTTTCAGATACTGGAAGGCTGCTATGAGGTCTCCACGCAGCCTTCTCTTCTCCAGGCTGAACAGCCCAAACTTCCTCACCCTATCTTCATACGGGAGGTGCTCCAGTCCCCTGATCATCCTTGTGGCCTCCTCTGGACTTGTTCCAACAGTTCCATGTCCTTTTTCTGTTGAGGACACCAGAACTGCACACAATACTCCAAGTGAGGTCTCATGAGAGCAGAGTAGAGGGGCAGGATCACCTCCTTCGACCTGCTGGTCATGCTCCTTTTGATGCAAATAGGATCAGCCAGTTAACAAGTCCAATTTCACTGTTGCTGTTTGCATAGTTAAAAATTATAATCCCACTCAGCTGCTTGACTTTTCATCCTGGTCAGAGGTGTTTTTCAGATCAAGTACAGAATGACAATATTAACCATGACATTTTGAAGGTCCCTTCACTACCCCAGCATGGAACTCACACATGTAAATACTGCTTAAGTCAGCTGGAGAGGACCCAAGCAGGAAAGCTGAGCTGGACCTACAAAATGCTACCCACAAAAAGGCAAAAAGCCAATACAATTATTTCTGTCATTTACAATAGTATTGTTTGTGTTTCATTCTGTCCTAACCAGGACATAATCAACCCTTCTTAGGTCGATTAAAGTGTGGAAACAATGTTGTTAAATTTTAGTCATATAACACAGCATAAAAAAATAATTCAAGGCTACAGAAGAAACTAGATTTTCCCTGGTGTTAATAAAGTTAAGCTTGGTTAAAAGGTGTCTGTCAATACACATTTACTATACTCGCACATACAGGGAGAGAAGTGCAATCCAATCCAGTCTTCTACAGAGTTTCCTATCACTGCAATACTTAACCTACTATGGTCTTAATTTGATGGACAGGCATGAACATAGTGATAAATTCCAGCTTTTCTCTCTCCCTTTATCAGAGAATCAACACCAGCAACTGCAGCAGGAATAGAAAAAACAACAACAAAAACCTGTAGCAGCAATGTGTTATCAATCAAAACTAACTCAAGCTATTTTACAGCAGTTGCAAGGATAAACAGTCACTAGTGCATGTATGATATTCTTTCCAGTATCCCAAGCTAGACCTAAAGAATGAGGCAGAGAAAGAATAGGAAGACAGAACAATAACAGATACAGTCCAAAATATATTTTGCTATGATTGTTGCCTCATGAACAAGAAAGAATTTTGCCCTTGTATCATGAAGTATTTACTTGACACTGTCAATTGGCAAGGAAAGGGAAAAAAAAAAACCTTCAATGGAACATCAGCCTTCAATGGAACAAAGCTGCACAGCAGCCTGTGTACAGGGTCCTTCAATGATAAGTCAGCTCCTTCTGCCCAAGGAGGGGGAAGAATTTGTTGAACTTGTGTTTTCATTTCAACAGGAACTAGCAAGTTCCTACTCCTGCTGCGTAGGGACCTCTCTCTTTTCATTAGACTGTTGTTTCAGCATTACTAATCTCCAAGCAGGATATGTTACAGTGTTGGCACATGCCAACAATAAGGCAGCAGTCAACAGCCTAAAATAGTTTTGATAACATTAAATCAGCAAGAGCAAACTTACACTACATTAGGAAACGTGTACACCGGAAACTCCACAAAACTGCGTCTGCCAAAATCAACACATAAGACTGCACAGTCCACCTGCAGAATGACAAAGCCAAGGATGGGAGGAACTAAGACCACATCAGTGATTCTCTAAACATACCTAAAGGCTATACTGCCCTCAATAGTTCTGTCTCAGTTATTAAATCACAAACAAGTTTTTCCTCAAAGTTTTGCAAGTGTTCATATATTTTGAACAAGCAGAAATTTAATTCAGTTCCTGAAGTTGATGTTTACCACACAGGATTTCTCTGATGAATTTGCTGACTTTCAACCAATTTCGTGTGGCACAGAGACCCTGCTTAAAAAAGTAAAGACAGTACAAATATTCAGAAGAATATTCAGAGAAGTTACAAAAATACTTGCTGGGTAAGCATGTGAATAATGGGGAAAGCTAAAGGAAATGAGGATAAGACAGCATTTTCATTATCAAGTAATAACACAATGCAGAACGCATTTGTGGTGGTGTGCACAATGATAATACTTTACAAGATCTATAATTTTGAGACTGCAAAGTTCACAACCCATAAACATAAAACAGAAGAGAAAAGGCCCACTTTGATTAAGGACACCAAGGCAAACAAATAGCAATGAAAAATGTGGTGTGACTTCATAACATCAATCTACCAGAAACAATTATCCCTTTTAACCCCAACTGCAAAAACTGCCATGTAGTTTTTGGGAAAACAGCATAAAAGAGAAGTATCTTTGATGAAGAAAAGGACTTCAAATCACAAATGTAAACAATTTTCATGGGAAAATTTATTCATCTTATTTAAGTCTGATCAAAAACTGTCTTATGAATTTCTACATCTGAACATCCCGAAATTTCTGAAAGTTTCTGAATAAATACTTGTTCTTTCAGACACATAACTACATTTATGTAAATTTCTGCACAGAAAGCAAGGAACACCTTGTTTTCCCTCCAGTCAACATAGTATAAACTACAGCAAGTAACACACTCAACCTGCACAGAGGGGAGGTAAATATCAGACATTACAAAACACAGAAAATACACAAATAGAAAAAGAGAAAGCAAGAGAAAATACATTATCTTCTGCAGACTGTAGAAAGTCTAAACAAGTGACAAATCAGAAGCAATTTGCCATAGTGCTAATCTGGCTTTTGATCTAAGATCCAAGTGAGTTAAATGCTATATAGAGGATGTTTAAATAAAGACAAACAAAATGCAGATGATTATGCACAATACAACTTGCAAAATCCTCCATCTTCACATTTATCTTTCAGGAGAATGAAGAGAAGAACTCTGCAGACTCCTCTCACACCCATGACTGGCATACAAAGGTAAAAAAAGGAAAAAGGGAAACTGCAGACAATTTGCAGGTGGCTTTTATGAATAATTTTTTAATACATCTGGTGTTCTAACACAAGCCTTAGAAAGTAATTGCCAGACGGCTTAAAAAGCAAAACCAAACCTCCTTTCCTGCCCACCCCCACAGCAAAACTGTGTCTGTCATACTGAAAGATATAAACTCTAATTAGGCCCTGGGTACCTCTATGAGAGATTTTGCTGAAGATGCATGGTGAAAGTAATGGAAGCCACATGCATATATCAACAAGGCAACAGGAAAGCCCAAAAGACATCATTTAAAAGTGCTCAGTGTTAATATTATACACATGGCTTTCAACTGGAATTAAAACTGCAAGTTCAGGATAAATACAGCGTATTCTAAATATTTTGTACATGCAAACAGGAGACAAAGTAATTTCATTCTGCTTAATATTGCAACTTTCTTCACACCTCATGTTAATTCTTACCTACTTCTTAAGCAGTAGAAGTCTTTGTCTTTATACTGAGCTCAGATTTTTTTTCATATAATTCATCTAACAAAACTCAGATTAGACTTTCCTTCTTTTCATGCATATTTTACAGATTATACAGAGAAAACCAAAACAAGCCCAAACCCTTTTGCTTGGAGCATATAAAAATGTTCTCAAATTCAAAACAAATGCACTAACATCAGTTTGACAAACCATCTCTGTCAGCTCCTGAAAATTGACGCTGTCCTTCTTCTCCTGAGCTCTGACTCACAACCTGTACTGAATGTAGCTGATGTGTACAGCAGAGATCTCCCCTCTGCTCTAACACTGTAGTTCACTGCTGTGGCTAGAGGACAACAGAGCAACAGGCATCTTAAAGCTAGCAGCATTCGTGACTAAATTATTTGATGACAGACCTCTTTTGGGCAGAGAAATCCAATTTATTCCACATTTACAAAGGTTTAAATATAACAGGCTCTAGTCTGTGACAGACACTCATCAGCATTATTGCTGCTTAATAAACAATTAGCTGCCCACTAGTCATCACTGCATCCACAGATCTGTTTTGCTACTAATGCTTCTCAAGTCAGCTTGGGGCAACTGGAGAGCAAAGCTACTACAATTAGTTAGAGCATGCCTGCAACTCACAATTTTGTCTGCAAGAAAGATTTCCATAGCAAAAGTAATTAAGCCTACCATGAAATACCAAGTATGCACCAACAGGCTTATCTTGATCCCCTTAAAAATACTGCAACTTAAGCCATGGTAGTTACCCAAATTTGCACTGTATTATAAATGGGCAACAGCTGAGCAATCATTTTTAACCCAGTTTTCAAAGCTCTGCTTGTCAGCATCTCAGCATGCACAGCTCATAGACATCAGGCTCCTGCTGATGCCACTGAGATGTCTTTTGAGCCTCAAAGGATTTGCAAAGTTATTCTGATAGAAGGAGAGGGCCTTAGTGACATGGTTTAGTGGTGGACTTGGCAAGTCCTGGGGTAAGGTCAGGATTGGTGATCCTTAAAGGTCTTTTCCAACCTAGCTGATTCTACGATTCTAAGATTAAAATTTAAAGGGAGGGAATAATATTTTTCAGGCTCATTTACACTTCAGCCCATGGTGGATATCATGTGAGAAAACAGGTATCTCAGCTTGGCTTAAACCACCCGGATTCACTACAGCCCCATCTATATCCACACAAACCAGCTTTGATGTAAACCTTTAACTCAGCCTGCATGATTCGCAAAACATTTTTATTCTCTGTATTCAGCTGTCCTAGATTCCACATCTTTGATGACAGTCACTTCCTCTTCTGGACAAATCCAGTATCCCCTGGCTCTTGTTCAGCTCCAACCTGTGAGTACACCTATTAGTGATTACAATGATAAAACCAGCTTTCTTCAGGTATGTCCAGAACACTTCTTAGTGAGACATCTTAATGAAAGCTCTCACATTCAGACTATGCCCCCACACCTTAGTTCAAGACTTGGGCTTTAAAGTGATTTTATATTTGTATGTCTAAACTGGTCTTTAAAACATACACTTTTGGTTGCACTGAACCTTGCCAGAACTTGTACAGCAAAATACTCTCTCCTTGAACAAAACAGTTCACACACAGTGGTTTTTTGTTCATGACAGCAACTAATACTGAATACTTCTGTCCTACCAAATTTGCAGGGAACACGAAATAACCCACCTCCAGTCTATAGCTCCTGTGTGCTCTAAACCATGGAGTTCAGTACCTCTTCTAAAATCTGCTGCTGCTCTCCACTCGTATCAGCACTATGAATATCCAGAATTAAAACCAAGGAATTTTTTCATCCTTTTAAACTGCTAACCTCCTTTGTACCTCATGCAACAGTACCTTTCTCTACTTTTAGCAACCCCAGTGTATATTTGACTGTGCTAACAAGACTCTGTTCAGCTATGAGAAGTGTATTTATCCTTTTGTTGTTGTTGTTGTTGAACAGTAACTGTGGGATGTTGTAAGCACCAATCTTACTGACACAGGAGAAAAACGGGGAAAGTCTCTCCTACCTATCCCCTAAAGAGAATTTAACAGCTGATAACCTGACAAAAAGGAGACCAACTACTACCCACGAACAAAAAGGATGTGCAAAATCACAGAAGTGAGGGAATACTAGGGAAAACTATTTGGGGACACGTCATTTTCACAGGGATTGAAAGAGATGAAATAAAACATTGTGGGATGGAGAACAACAGCGCACCCTAGCCTGGCACAGGAAGAGAGGTATGGCAGTAACCACAGCCTGGCACAGAAGGGAGAACAAAGCACCAGGATAATAGAGGCAGCTGGGAAAAGGAGCCTGAGCAATTTCCCAGCACAGAAAAACGGAGTTTATGCAGAACAGCAGGCGTAGGGAGCACTGCCTGTGGGAAGAGGTAACTAAACATGAGCTGTATCCTGAGGCCCAGCAGAATGCTTTATAGCAAGCCTGCATGAGCAACAGAGTAAAGCAAATAAAGTGAAGAAAGAGAGCTCAAACAAAGGTAATAAAGTCTGCAGTCTCAAAGCCTTCACAGTCTGTTATCATATCATCTATAAAGTTAACAAAATCAAGCTTCACTGTATTACCACTCGGTCACCTGTTTCTTCTTTCTATGCTGCCTTTTCCAGCTTAGTTCTGTAACACCTAGATGGAGCTGTGCTGACCAGTACCATCCCGGTGCACTGTTTATTTAAAGACACTGATGTTCTTCTCGGCTCACCACTGCATGTACATCCTACCATTGTCTACTGCTGTCATTACAAACAACTAATCTTTACTAAATGCACGCAAACCAATTACACCAATGAAGAATTCATTTTAAAAATCTTAAACCACTTCAAAAAGAAACATGCTCAGCAAAAAGGTTTGTGTGACTCCTGCACCCCATTTCCGATAGGAAGCCTAAGAATTCTCATAGCCTCTTCCAAGTTTCTCACATTCTGGCGTATGGCCTTGTGTTAAGTGCTTTCTGATTTCTTTAGCAAGGGCCATACTGCGCCAGGATTAGCAATATCCAAGTATTTTAGATTGGCAGTGTTCTTTTATATTTTTAAAGCCAAGAAATGTGCCAGACACCCCTCAATTTTATTTAATAATCAAGTCTTTCAATTATTGCTTCAAAAAATGAAGTCTATAGATTAGCATAATCTGAAGTTTAATTTGCAAGTGAAAGTCCCTTTTAAATTGCTAGCAGCAACTGAGCTTGCAGTCAGCTGTGACCAAAGCATAAGCAAGGGGACATCTTTGCCTTTGTAGCAATATAAGAGAACCGTAATGAGAGCTACCTTTTCACAAAACACTTGAGCTTAATAACCTAACCCATCACCTGCCTTTCAGTTAAGGGGAAATAACACTAACCATTTTAACTACAGCCTATATATACAACCTGTATCTTGTCTTTGAAAAGCACTCTTCTTACAATTACTAAGCTCTTGGTGTGCTCAAGATGCAACACTGTTTTAATAAGCTTTAATAGGAACCTAACCACTTACTGCCTATGGTACAGCCTTCCTACCTACAACCATCCTCAAACCATGACCCCAGCTGCAAAGCCTTTATCTCATTTTTACAGGTAACTAAATAAGTGATGCATTAAATTGATTTTATGCTCGCTAGCAAAATTAGTACAGCACACAACTTGACCCTCAGTTCTGGGAAGGCATGGAGGGTCATCCACGTGTTTGGGACTGACAACAGAACAACTTGGGCTGTGTCACATTGACTTAGGTCTCCTCTGGAAGCCTGACTCGGCTCTCAGGTCACACATGGGTTCCTTGATCACATGCTTTGAAGGTGAAATAGGTATGTGTGCAAACCGAAGCCTTCTCAACACTTTATAACCATAACACTCCTTCTGTGAAAGGTGAGGCATCTCACCGACCCTTTAGGGCCGCGATATAGTGGATTTGAGCACTTGTCCCAACTCCCCGAACGCACTCGGTTGCCGCGGTCCGACACGAACCGTGTTCCCCACCCTCACTTCCGCGGCTCTCAACAGACTGAAACCTCAAGAGCGGGGATAAGCCCCCCGGGCACAGCCACCAGAGGCCCTGCCTCCCGACAGCGCACTCCCCGCTCTCCAAACGCCTCTGAACCCCCCCTCGAGCCACACTACGGACCGCGAACAGCCCCTACCCCAACGCAGGCCTTCACCCCCGAGCGGTGGGGCGGGAGGGGCAGGTAAAAGAGCCGCTCTTACCTCCGGGCGCGCGGAGAGCGACGAGTAGGCGGGGCTTCCTGCGGCGCACAGCGGTGACGTCACTGCCGGCGCCGTGGGGCGGCCCCGGGAAGCGGAGGGACGGACGGATGTGAAGCGGGAGTGCGGGGAGCGCCGGTGTGGTGGTGGGCGCGATGATGAGAGCGGTTGTTGTGCGTGAGAGCGAGAACCGGGCCCGCTGTTTTAAGGCAGAAAACGTGCTTGTCGGCTCGCAGCACGTTTAGGTGGAGGCGGTAAACAGCCGGCATGCCCCAGCTGTTCCCAAATGTTCCCAGGTACTTCCTGGGAAAAGGAAGGCACAACGTGGTTTTAGAGGTGGTCCCTTAACCCTGGAGATCCCCTGTTTACAGGGAGGCATCTCAGCGGTTTCTGACAGGTTGCACGTCTTCACATAGTCCTCAAATGAGGGTTGGCTTCTAACAGCATTATTGGTTGTGATTTCTACCCTGTTTCTTCTCAAGATTTCAGCAAATAAATCTGGGTTCAAAATGCAGTGTGTTAGTAGTTCTGCACTGCAGGAGCTTGCCGAGTGGAAGCCTGCACAAACACAGCTGTGGCTCCCAAAGATAAGATCCACGTTTTACAGATTTACATTCTGATAAAAACAGAAGCCAGCATCCACATCAAAAGTATTGGTATTACTAGCCAAAGACCTCTTTCGCCTCTTTTCTGTTCAGAGCTCCAGCTGAACATCATTGTAAATCAAGCCTGCAGCCTCTCCCCTTCAAGGCAGATCGAGATAGGATCACTGGAACTTTTCAGTGTGGTTAAAGAGGGCCTGTTCTCAGCTACAGGTTATGCAGGAGTGCATGCGGCTGATTAGTCTGTGGCTGGTTGTTGCCTGGGGGGAATGTGCAGAGCTGGCTTACTCAGCATCAGGGTTTCTAGAGGAAAACAGGTCCAGTCTGAAGAAGGGCAAGGTCAAGAGTGGTGAAGGGGGAAGAATATACTCATAGGGAGAGCAGGACTATAAGTGTGGGGTCTTATGTAGCTTGAGTGTACCTCCCTGTGCAATTCAAAATAGTGGCAAAAGTGAGCTTCCTTTTAATAACTTGGTTTACATCTGAGTGCTATACTATGTCTCTTCTAATTAAATCAGTATGAGCTGCAAATGAGTCACCCTACTCCCTGTTCGAAGCATATCTAAAGATCTTCAGATGGAGTCATTACTTGTTTACATCTTGTCGTCTCCTTTTCCTCCAGGAGATGCAGAGATTTAGGGTTTCAGTTTCAACCAAAAATGGCTGCAAAAATAATACAGATACTTGTTTCTAACAGAGTGTTTATGAAAGCAGCAAACACGGGGATTCTGTAAGAGTCTTTCAGCTGTCTGTGGGATGCACGTATGCATAGTAGAACCACTTGGGTAGGGAGTGGTATGCTTACTGTTAATATTTTAGTGTAATAATAAAATGTGTCTCTGAATTTTCATAACCATTTCTTACTTTCAAAAACCACAGTCTTAATGATTTTTTCTTGTTCATTTTTACTAGAACAACTACTGTAGGTTAAAGGGAATTTAGGAGAGATTGTATTTTCAAAAAAATAAAGAAATGCAACAGCCTGAAGGGAAACGGAGAAATAGCAAGACCTGCCCTCCTAAAGAAAGCACCACTTTGCACTTTCAGTGTGCCAAGTGTTTATTAAGGACCTCAGAACACTTGACATATGTTTAGTTCATTCTTACCTCGGTATTCACATGTCACAGGTTGGGAAATACAGAGAGGGAAGTTGATTAACAGACTAATTGATTTACCAAATGTTAGGTAGAAGTTTCTGCCAGTCTTATTTCCTAAACCAAATATTTTGTTTCAGTTACAAGATCAAAGGAAAATGTGACACATGTTGATCAACGTTCAGAATCAGCCAACTGTTTGTAGAAGATTGTAGCCACGTAGAACATTAATGCAGTACAGGTTGTACTTGGAGAATTTCATGGTAGTACAATGTGGCTCTCTGTCTCCTTCTAGTGGTTTACGTTTGTTATAGATAGGCTTCTGGGTGCAAAGTAGAACAGATTTATACTGTTCAGTTAACTGGAGTTCCTATACTGAGAGCTGTAAGCCTTGGAATTTCTTGAAGCTTTCCTTTTCTGCTTAAAATGGCTGTGTTGGTTGTTTGGTTTTCAAGAGCAAAGAGTGAGGAGTTAAGGATTTACATTTATCCCAGCCAAAACCTGATTGAGATACGGTTCATGTAATTCAGTTGTTTTGTGTTGGTGCCACTCTGAAAATGTATTATGATTTTATGTACAGATATCTATAAAAAAATCTATCCAAGAAAAGCTCTATTGCCATCTGGCATTTAATGGAAGCTGTTTCATTTGAGAGGCCTATGAATGATTATTGATTTTTCTCTGTCATTCCCAAAACAACAGAAAACAATCCTGAGTATTTTCTCCAAAGTAGTTGAAGTGACAGGCATCTTTAATGTAATTACTCCTTTGTTATTATGTATCTTATTCATTGTACATACTATATATTGACTCCTGCAGAGTCAGTGTTCTTTGTGGAGTAGATGTGGAGGCCAAATCCTGTAGTCTGGACCTCAATGGAATCACTGTGCCCTACAGCCTGGGTCATGCAAAGCACCACAGCCTGACCTACAGATGAGCTGTGGCAACTCCCAACTCCCAGAAACAATGCCCCTGAAAAAGCTTTTGAAGATACTCACATAGAAGATAAAACAAATAGCCTAAGTTCTTCTGCTGTGAATCTGCTGTGAATCAAACAAGGATGCTAGAACCTACTTGTAACAGAAGGGTTAATAAGTCATTGGCAGAATAAAAATACAGACGCTAAAATCAGACCAAAAGCAAAAGGTGGTTGTAATAGGCATCTATAGTCATCCTAAGGGAGAAAATGAGGCAGTAGAATTGCTTTGTCTGCAAGTCCGGCTTCTTCTGACACTAATTACTCTTTTTGGCCTTTTAATGTGAGCTTTAATGGGAGCAGCAGAGCTACTTCATTAAATAATTCAGCCTTTCTAAGTAGACACTTTTATCAGGAGTCCACCATAAGCCCTTTCTGGCAATTACTGGAAAGCCAGTACATCCAAGCACAGAGAACCTGCCCTTTTATCCTGTGAGTCTGTGTCTTAAACCTCTAGAGATTCAGCAAGCATACTGAAAATGCTAAACCAAAGCAGACTTAAATGAGATCAAGTCAGTCAAAGTACAGCTACACTGTGATGAAACTAAACTGAGGAATTTTGTGTTACCTCTGTCTGTAGCTTGCATTTAAAAATGTATTCGTCTAAACTTGTGCAACATCACATTTGAAACTATTTCAGGAGTGAGTTAGTCTGCACCGGTGTTACCTGAGCTGCAGATCACTTCACAACAGTTCCTGGCCAGGCATATTTAAAGTCAAGTTATGGCCAAAATCATTAAAAAGCAGAGTGTGAGACAGTACCTTTTAAAATCCCAGGTTGGAGTGAGCAGACCAGTTTGGGAGACATATGTAGTACACTTTTTTTCTGAAGGATCTCAGCCACATGGGGCATTTCTGAGGTAGGCATTTTGTGATTGAGGCCTGTTTCTTTGCAATGTAATGTAATAAATTTTGCCCTGTGTGGGCAGACCAGGAAGTTACCAGAAGAGGGTGTAGCAGGAGTAAGCTGAAGCATGAATATCCATCTGTTGGCCAGTACCTGCTTGCCTACGTGCACTTGCCACTCAGTGGAAGAGGGGTGAGTATCTGATGTTTCCTTTGGTATGTCAGAAGACAGACATTCACAAAAGGACAGTTACAGGCAGCTTCGTGGCTCAATGGCATATTCATTGTAAGATGCCTCTGCCTGTATTCTACAGAGACCAGATATATGCAGGGAGCAGGGAGGCAGGTCAGGAATAGACATTTTACAGTGATTTATTACAAGGCAGATGGTGAGTCCAGAATGAGAGCCCAAGATATCTGGCTGCCAGGTTTGTGTCCTGCCACTAGATAGGGTAAGAAGGGGAATAGAGTCTTGAGGCTAACTCACAGGAATGTCTCACATCTTCAGGAACTTAAAAGCCTATAGCAGTGACACTTAGGACACTGGAAAAGAAGAGTAACCTCCAGAATTTTCCATCCTGTGATACAGTTTGCTGGATTTGGGGACAGCGTACGTGGCAGCGTAAGCCCAAGTGAACTTAGACTCACCTCTCAGTTAAAGTGCTCTGGAAATGTCTCTTTTTTGTGCACTCAAATTAAATTAGAGGGCTTTAAACCTACTAAACACAGACTCTTTGCCCTTTTGAAAATATAACATTTCTAATCAAAATACAGATGTGAAAGTACATGGAAAGAAGGAAACTGAGTTTGATGTAGCTTTGTTTTAGGGAGGAAAAATAATATAATTCAATAAGACTAGCTTAAACCCTCTGATTAAAGCTTTTTTGACATAACAGATAGGGAGGGTGAGATCTACACTGAGATAAAGATAGTTAGTACAGATCAAAAGAGCTTGTGTTCATGCCAACTAGATTAAATGACAGGATGTGGTGAAGTCCTGGCCACCATATCTGGTTACTTTACATACAAAGCTTTATTTGCTGAATGTAGATATATCTATTAGGTTATATGCATTTATATATGGAAACTGTAGAAATAAATTGAAAGCAATCTACCATGTGCAGAGTATTTGTTCTGATGCTGTTCTAAGATTGCATTTCTTCCAATTAGTGTGGAAAGCTGTAATTTTTTATAGCTGTCTCTCTCCCTAAGATTGTTGAAGTAAATTGTATTAGAAGCTGAGGTTTATTTCTAAATGCCACCATTCTTACTTGTTAGCTTCTGTGCATGAATTCAATAGAACCATATATTTCATATTCCAGCTTAATTTTAATGGAAAGCCTAGGACAACTTTAGGAGTAAATTAAACTTAGGACCCAAATTGCAGTTGTCATCTTAAAGGGTTTTTTTCCATTTATTTATCTTGACATGGCCCCTGAAGAGGCAGGCTATGAAGCTGGAAAGCTCTTTGGTCTAACCCAGTATGGCTGCTCTTATGTTTCTCATACACTCTGCAACAGCAGGCTGTGGGAGGAAGGGAATGTGAATGTCAGAAAGGGAAAACAC